AAATAAACAATATTTACTAATATGTATGGAACAACTAGAATCTAAGGCAACTCAATCATGAAATCCACAAACTAAAACAATTTCATTCTAGGATAGGTAATATTTAAGTTAGATTAAATATTTGGCCTTGACACTTCAGTTATTTGCAATACCAGATTTCTTTAACGGACAAGTCGAACAGTCACTGTTCAAATAAGGCGCTATGTTAGAATGTGATGCAGTGAAAGAAAGGAATTCAAGCGAAAACCTTAAGAACAAGCAATTTGGAACCCATCAAATAATAAAGAAAATAAACTTACGAATTTATTAATGAAAAGATAATAAAAAAAAACGAGCTAAGCCTAAGGGTTTACATGGAAACGTAGTTTAGAACAACTAAAAGTAATGAAAAGAAGTATAATCAAACTAGAATTGTAAAAAAAGAAAATAAACGAATTGACAAAAATAGCGCTAAAACTTTAAAAATCAGTTTTCGAGGTCTAAACGAACTCGAACGGCTGAAATTCAACGTACATCACGGTGTAGCGGTGAGTATTGTTCCCCTCGTCGTTCTCCTTCCAAAATGGTCTTATGGGACTGATCCGGAATCAAGATGATTGATTTCTACTAGTACCCTTTTTCCAATATACCCGTTATGTCCTACACCAGAATGATAACAAGAGATAATATTATTAAGCCAGATGCAGGTTGTGGATAGACCAAATTTATCTGTGACCAATCGATTGAGATACGCAGCACAATTTGTGATTGGGTCTAAATGGACGGGTGAACTTTCACCGATCACCCATTTGTAGCAATCCTAGAGAATATCCCGTCTACGCAAATTGACACTAATTCTTTTATCTCTTTTCTTTCTTTCTTCTTAATTGTTTAATTAGAATGTTTTTGGAGTTCTGTTGTTTGCACTGGCTACTAGATAACCCAAATATTCAACGCAAATAATCAGATGCCATATTATGGATACAATGGCATGTCAATGGTCTTGTATTAATCAAAGTACGGGCTTTTTTGGGGAGTAGCACACTTCCCATTAGCTACTTGTAGTGCACCGAACTTTTCCATATCCTTTGACATAACACATGTTTGTATCAGTTAAATTAGAGAAGCAATACGAGGTTTTGACCTTCAATGTCAACAATTCAGACAAGCAGAAGATCATTGAAATGGGCGGAGGACGGGCATAGATTCGAGAGGGAATGAAAGAGGGTCGAGTGACCTAAAATAGATATGGAGGGAATTACATAAGGTTGGACTCTCAGAGAGGAGAAAGTGGGTTGGCTTGGGTGAAAACATAGCATGGACAAGATGCAAATTCTTTCTACTCCAAAACCGTTATTATATGCTTTTTATGTTTCTTGTTTCCCTTTTATTTTTCAAGAATGCATCTAAAATTAATTCTTAAGGACTTCTTGTTCTGAATAAGCCCTAGTTCAATGCGTACAAAAAGGGAAAAAAACAAAGCTTTTAGCATCAATTAAACACATAGCGGCGAGTGCTTATGAAGAAAAGTAGAAACTATCTGCAACACATAGGTTTCAACCAAATATGCCAATCACGTACAAACAGAACAAAGATACTTACCCTGGAAAATCCAGCCCTGAGGTTTAGCGCGAAGGAATCATCCCAGTCTTTCTTGCATAGGCGAAAATTCCACCAGCCTTAATCACAGGCCCAGCATCCCCAATTGGCTTCAACTTATACTCCTTGCCAGAGGTATGATTAATCAACTTGCTGTCGCTCTCCCCAAGCTCAATGGTCACAACGTCCCCAGTCTTACACTCCTTGCACAGCCTTCCCTCCGACTCCACTGGATAAACCTCCCCAGTGGCGACAGAATTCCTAAAGAAAATCTGAGCATATGACTCGGCTACAACAGCAGCCACCCCGGAGGCACCTAGGGCTACAGGGGCATGCTCTCGCGACGAGCCACAGCCGAAATTATCTTCCCCAATAACAATGGAGTATTTGGATTTGATTTCCCCCGGGTCAATGAAGCGAGTTTCGTACGAAGATGGAAGGCCAATGAGGGCGTAAGAACCAAGCTTCTCGTACTCAACGGGGTTGGAGGGGACGAGAGTGAGGTACTCGGCGGGGATGATTTGGTCAGTGTCGATGTTATCGCCCACAACGTAGCAGAGCCCGTGGAATGTAGTGACAGTGGAAGCGGCGTCGGGGGTGGTTGTGGTGGAACGGAGAGGGCTAGTGATGCGGTGGTGCCGTTGGGGATTGAGCTGGGATTTCAAGGCTTTGAAGGAATAGTTTGGAGAATTAGTAGCGGAGGGAAGTTTGAGGGAGGAGAAAACAGTGAGAGAGGAAGAATTGGGGCGGGAAGAGACGAGTTTGAAAGCGGAGAGTTCTGAGAATGTGGTGGCAGCGGCGGCGGCCATTTTTTTTTTTTTTTTTTTTTTTGCGGAGAGTGATGAGAAGCGGCGGCGGCGGCGGCGGCGGCGTTTCTTATGTTTTATTTCGGGCCGTTGGCTTCTTAATTCTCGAATTACGGTCGAAGCCAACTTGGACCCGGAAATGGAATGGCAGAATCACAAGAAAGACCTTAATACACGTTTGGCTAAAATTATAGAGTAATATGTTTTTTGTTTAAAAAATAAGATCCCGTTTGGCCCTAATTTTTAAAATTTATTTTTTAAAACTTATTTTCAACCTTATAATTTATGAAATTTTCAATTTTATCCTTTTTTTTTCAATTACATATTTTATCAATTTTTATTAAGATTTACCAAAAGTGAAATTTTAGTTAGATGGGGGCCGCTCATAGAGAAAGGTAGCGAGACTGATCACTGTTAGGACTTGAGAGAAATTAAAATTTAATTTAAGTCAAAGTTAATAATTAATTTTAAGTACAAATTTATGTGATCCACAACTATACGTTTCATCAACTGTTATCAAAATATATCAAAAATTTGATTTTAATCCCTACCAAACAATGGTTAAATATCTCATTTTTAACAAAACCAAACATGGGCTAAATACGTAACTTACGTTAATTTAAATAGTAATGTTATTTGGCATTTCATTGAGCCTATTACATTGCGTCATTTAGATTGGTGTTATAGCATTATTGATGCTAAATAACATTATTTTAATTTAAAATATGTAACTTATATTGAAATTTTGCTGCAGTTTGATTACCATTTTTGTGTGAAAATAATGTTTTTAGAAATGATTTTTTTTGGAGAATGTCTAATTAAAAAGTGACGAAAAGTTTTGGATTTAAGTGCAAATTATTTTATTGGGGTAATTAGCACGAATGTCCTTACATTTAAACATTATTGTGCAAAATATTTCCATCTTTCATTTTCGTATTTTTATAGCTATTTTCACCTTTCATTGCTAAAAATATCATTTCTATCCAATTTCTCAATAAAAAAAATGTAAAATAACAAATATACCCTCCTATTTAAATAAAACAAAAAATAAAAAGAAAAAATAAAAAATTAAATTGCAATTATACTCTTAAACTTTTTTTTAAAAACTGCGAATGAGTAAATTATTAAAGGATAATTAGCACAAAACGTCCATATCTTTCAATATTATTGTGCAAGACGTTCTTTTTATTTTTTTGACATTTTTTGTGAAAATCATCATTTTCACCATTTTTTTGGGAAAAATTGCAGCCGAAGTACCAAACCTTTCGTTTATTAGCAGACTTTGCTCAAATCTTTAGTTTTTGTCACCGGAGATACCAAACATTTAAAAAATGAGCAGTGCCAATCCAAAATGATGGTTTCTGTCTGTTTGACTGCCAAAACCGTCAATTGACTCCTCTAATAATATTTTCAAGAATTTTCCCCAAATAAGTGAAGGGCAATCTAGGCATTACACACATTTCCCTGCTATTATATACTTCACTGTTTATTTCCCTCCATTTCTTTACCACTATATTACCTCCTACCTTCTCTCTCACAGGTAGTAAAAAAAAAAAAATCAGCACGCACATGGAGTTGAATGTATGTAGATGTGGTTCCCAAGTGTAGATGAAGATCTCGTGGATGAACCTGAACCCGGGAAGAAGATTTCTCACTTGTCCTTGAAGCCAAGATGTGGGTGGATGCACCTTCTTTATGTGGTGTGACCCTCCAATATGTGAGAGATTGAAGAAACTGATTCCTGGTCTAGTACGAGTTAGGAGGGAAATGGAAGCTGAAATCAACACCATTCAAGCAACAAGACCAAATGTGTGGAAGATCTGGCTCTTCGGATTTGTATGTGGAGTGTTTGCAAAATGGGTTTGTTTCTAGGTATGTAGGGTCAGATTGTAGGATGTCAATATTTAGTTCCAGAAATTTGAGTTTAGGGTTTCAGCATGGAGCCATGTGCTAGATGTTGCGAAATACATATGTAAAAGGGAAAAATTATGCTGTACCTTTTTACTTGAAAAGAACTACCCCCTTTTTCCTGTACTTAATGCTGCCTTAATAGGTGATAACGATCTTTTACTGGCCTCTATGTAAAATGCAGAATGGGAAATTAAAAGAGCTGATTATACTCCAAACTTTTCTGCAGAAGGTGCAGCATAGGTACTAAATATTATAACGATTCACAGAATTAATACCAAACATTTTCTAATGGTTTCGATAGAATACCAAACATTTAAAAACATTTCAGCAAAGGTACCAAACGTTTGATAATACTTTCAGAGGAAGTATCAAACATTTTCATATATTTCCTAATCACCTGAACATCAGATCTTACGAATACAAATTCAGAAACTAACGGCAACCAACAGAAACATAATGCAAGAAATTCGACATCAAAATTATCATCACATTCAACAATTTCATCAAAAATTCCAATTACATCTACAAAATAACAGCATTGGAAGCACATATTTTCAGTTCAGTTTACAAAAAATCACAGCATTTTCCCAAAAAAGTAAGTAACCATACAAGAGAAACCACATGATGTTCAAGATTTCGATCCTCTATTGTTGGACTTCTTTGTCTGTGACTTAGAGGTTTTCGTTGAATGTGTTTTTCTCTTCCCCTTCTTGATCTGGTATGTGTATTTTCTTGGGATTCTGTTTGTGCGGTTGGTTGAGATTATTGTTGTGAACTATCTTCACTAGGCAGTGGTCCCTTACAACTTCTTTTGTTATGTCCGAACCCTCCACAACGTTTACAAGTTATTTTCATGCCAGTCCTTCCCATCTTAACTCCTGCAGGTGGCTCTGCCTGTGACCTCTTCCTCATTTTTTTAGGTCTGCCAGCCTATTTTCTCTTCTGAGGTTGATTGAGAGGATGCTTTCCCAATTCTAGCCACAGTTCAGGCCTGACATCGGGTGGATCACTGGGGAGTAACACTTGAGGTATGTTTCATTGCTATACCATGGGTCGATGTACTCATATATGCCAATATCCCTTGAAAGCATGCCTGATATTGCATGTGGATATGGTATTCCAGTGAGCTGCCATTTTCTGCATGCACATGCATGTTTTGTCAAGTCAACGCTCTATCTCAAATCGTTTCTGCTACTTATCTCAAATTTATGATTGCCTGCATAGTCTGCCTTCAAGTACCTTGCCTCAGACTTAGCATTCTCAATGATTTTCACAATTCTTGGCCCGAATGCATAATCCCACCTCCACACTGCTTCCCTTTTTACATTCATCCTTATCATTTGCTGATGCCAAATTTTCTCTAGCATCGAGATGATGAGCTTTTCTCTGGCAACAACAATGGAAGAATTGAATGCCTCACAAAAATTATTAAGAAGATTATCACATCTCGAATGCTATTCGAAATGAGATCTGGTCCACTAGGAAGGAGGTTTTTCAAGGAACCAGTTGTAAGTCTCTTCACGTATGTCTTTTAACTCATTCATTGCACTCATCCACTATGGCACCGTTGTTGCCCTTGCTGTAGTCCAAAATAGGTTCTTAAGGGCTAGAACTTTGTGTGCCAAGGTGAAATTGCTATAAAGATGTCTAGCACAACACCTATGCTTTGCTCCTTTACAGTTTTGACTTATGGAATCCACCAACCCTTTTATTTGTCGGAAATGAATGTCCAAGCTCGAGGGTTGTGCATCCCTATGTCATGAACCAACAATTCTGTGAGCCATTGCCAATTTGTTTTGTTTTCCACATCCACAACTGCCCATGCTAACGGGAACATACAGTTCTCACTATCGATGCCAACAGCTGCCAACAGCTGCCAACAGCTGCCCACCTTCTGCAGATTTTACGAAACATCCATCCAACCCAACAACTGGCCTGCACCCAGCCTTAAACCCTTGCTTGCAAGCCCCTAAGCAGATGTACAATTTCTTAAAAGTGTGACCTGAACTTTCGATCTGCACTGTACTGCCTGGATTTGTTCTCTTCAATTCCTCATTGTAATCCCATAACATTTTGTACTTCTTAACTACAATCTCATTAATAATTTCTGCACATTTCGATCTTATCCTGTAGAACTGATGTTTTGAAATCTCATACATAGGGTTGGCAATGGGCCGAGCCGAGCCCGGCTCGGCCCTTAATGCCACGAGCTCGGCTCGTGCTTGTGGCGAGCTGAGCTTGTGGCTCGTCCGAGCTTGTGGGCCGAGCCGAGCTTCGGCTCCTGGGCTCTTCTATTTTTATTTTTTTTAAATAAAGAATAGAGTTTTAAAAATAAAAAGTGTTAAAAAAATAAAAAGTGTTAAAAAATACAAATAATTTAACGAAAACAAGTTTTTATTTTTTTTATTTATATCATATTGTAATTTGTAATACTTTTTATAAAGTATAAAATATTTATATAATGAAAACGAATTATTTTTTGAAATACATTTACAAAAAATATTTTTTTTATTTCTTTTTAAAGTTAATAAAATGCAAACACTCCTCCTTTATTCGGGCTTGGAACCGGTTATATCAATTTTAAGTAGGCGAAGTTAAAAATTGTACACGGACAACTTGTTGTAACGTGTAAAAATTTTTAAAGAAAATTAAATTTAACGATTAAAAAATAAAAAAATTGATTAATATAATTAAATCAAATATCACTTACCTGACGACATGCAATTTCAGCGTATTTATCTTGTAGTCGAAAATGAGCGTCCTGCCAATCCTTCACACACATTAACGCTTCCAAAACATCTTCTTTCAGTCGGCTCCTGATATCAGTCAAAACCCTTTTACCTGCACTAAAAGCAGACTCCGAAGCAACAGTACTAACTGGAGGTGTCAATAGATCTTTTGCAATTGCAGAAATAATTGGCCAACGTCTTTCACACTTTTGCCAGAATTCAATTACTTCTTCTGAAATTTTTTTAATTGTTCTGTCTGTTGGTATAGGCATCGCATTTTGAATTTCGGCCGATGTTTGATGAGATGCAGATGTAGACGACATGGCACTAAATGAACACATTGCAGTTGCATCATATTTAAATGTATTAATGCTCTGAAATAAATTCATTATTTCCGCAGCATCTTCTTCAGTTTCAACAAAAGGAGTAGGTGCAGCAGAGGGTACCCGACTAACATTTGCACCCATTCTTTCCGCATATAAATCATACATTCCACATAATGTTT